TCCTCGAAACTCGCGAGAAAATTCGTCGCTTGCCTGACATAAGGGCGTAACTACACATTAAGATGAGCCCGGAAAATCATTGAATTGTGTGAAGAACAGGGCTCATTGCAGAGTGTAGTTACGCCCTTATATCAGGTAGACGACGAATTGCGTGCTCGTCCACGGACAACGCACGAAGAGTTCGTTAAACCAAGCTTTACTATCACTTCACAAATCGCAATTGAACCGGTGCCAACAATTTCTCATGGCGTGCCGTTCTCTCAACGCACTTTAGACCCATGCTCCGATAGTAGATTACTTGGGGGCTGCGCCCCCTGGTCGCTACGCCCCCGACCCCCAGAGGGCGCTTCGCGCTCTCTAAGGCTCGCTTCGACAAAAGAGCGACCAATAAACAGGGTGTTCGCAACGAACACCTTGATAATCGATTCATGGGGGCAAATATCGATAATCGACCATTCACCCTTCGCCATTGCCTCTGTGACACATGTGACTGATTCATTACACATTTTTTAGTCTTACGGGGAATTTTTTGAAAGGCATTTGAGACTTCTCAAGAAAATCTAATGTTTTGAGAGACAAAGATAAGAGGGAGATAAAATTGGAGGCTCGAGGGAAAATTATGCGATTTCTTGTGAAAAAATTCTCTGCATGCGGAAAAATCGAATAAACCTAAATACGCACCGATGCGCTTTTGCCTGATACAGAGTAAAATACCTTGTATTTTTTCTTTAGCTATTATTATTATCTACTCTACACTCTACAGGGAGAAACCAGGTGGTTGGCTCTGAAATGCGTGAGGGCACCCCTATAAATAAAACCATAGCATGGCTTGAGGGAGGGGGTAGCAAGTAAAGAAAGTCATTCATTGTGAGAAAAACGTAGACCTATCAAAGTCTGATTGGTTGCATGCCGTAACTGACCATGGTGAACGGTATCCTGTTACCTATTACCATACGAGACAACATCCGTCGAAGGATAACATTCACGTCCCTGCGTGACCTCTTAAGCGCTTGTATCCTTACTCAATTCAGGGTTCACGTAAAAGTGGACGTGATCCCTTTTGTACAAATGGACGTATTTCTATCAAACGGAACTATGTTCATTGTGACGTGAGCCCTGTAATGCATATATTCTTATGGTTCTCAGGGCTCATGTTTAAATGCACATAGTTCCGTTTGATAGAAATACGTCCAAATATGCTGCGTTGAGGTGGCAGCAGTAAATAAGGCGGTCGGCAAAAGTTTGGATAACATTTGAGATTTCAACCGTTTCAACATTCCCGCGCGTGATCGTGTTACACAACGAAAAGGAGCAAGAAAGAATTAAGAAGAAGGAAGAAGAGCGAAGTAAATCACGCAAATGGTCGACACGACGCGATGATGCTTTTAAAATAACCGCTCGAAAACGCTACATTACCGCGTGGAGGACGTGCAAAACAAATGCCCCCTTAATTTCAGCGGACTAAGGATTAACGCAGTATGAACATTCGGATACTGTCAAATTGGTCTTAGTAAAAAATTTCATTTTCGAGGAAATTATGAATATTTCCCTTTGAAATTTTCGGATGCTTTAGATTAAATTGCTGACAAAATTAACTGGAAAACTCGGGAACAAATATTCACAAGATTCCCCAAAAAATCGAATTTTGTTGAAGGAATTTCGGCAATGTCGGGTGGCTCATACGGTGTTCTTTCGTGGGTCAGCAGTATCGTCTCATGCGGCGCGGGTGAATCGAAACAATGCGAAGAAGCGTCGTATATACCCGCAAATCCTCACTCGAGAACAGCTGGAGTCTGGATGGTGTGCCGGCATGGGGTCGGGTTGTTGAAAGGGAATTTACTCCAGTCAGTAACGCTGGGATGTGCAGTTAATTGAAAACTGATAGCGTGGGTAAAGGGGTAAGTCGTGTGTGGATGAAGCGGTATTTTCCAGCGCCCAGTTGAGAGGAATAATTTTTAGACGATGGTCAATGCTGCCGGGCTAAGGAAAAACGCCGTATGAACATCCCGGAGTTGCCAAATTTTCCTTGATAAAACCTGTAAATTTGACAAAATTCATGCATATTTTCCTTGAAATTTTCAGATATTTTAGATTAAATTGTGAACAAAATTGTCTGAAAATTTCGACAAATAATACTCACAATTTTCTCAGTACATTCGGTTTTTATCGGAGGAAATTTGGCAACGTCTGTAGGCTCATACGGCGTTTTTCCTTAGCACGGCAGGATGGGTGAAGAGATGTCATACTCTGCCGTGCTAAGGAAAAACGCCGCATGAACATTGGTAAGTGAAGCTTGGGAACATTTGGAACCCAATGGGCTACGTCGAAAGGGGAGGCAGGGTTTCTTCGACCATGGACAATGGACATTAGCTTCCTATTTTTCGCGTACATTTTACATTGGAATGCTGTTAAAGAGAATATATTGGTATTGAATATTGGTACTGCTAAATTTTAGGACCATCGATACCCGCACTGGAAAAAAAACACATTGGATCTAGAGTCCAGACTTTTAAAAACATCGACAAGAAAAAATACTCTGGATTCAATCAGATTTAAGCTTCAATCAAGAATCAAGCCTCCTAATTTGAGCAGATTTCCCTTTGATTTAAGCTTAAATCTGATTGAATCAAGAGTCCTTTTTCTTGTCAATGTTTTCAAAAGTCTGGACTCTAGATCCAATGTGTTTTTTTTTCCAGTGCGCCAGTAAAGTAGCCAAAGATATACATTTTCTAGTCGCCTGTAAGTAGGCGTAATGCTCTTCGATCGGCCGTAAAGATAAAATAAAAAATAGCTCAAGCTAAAAAGTGACCGATTTTTCATGTGTCAGAGCAAGAGCTGAAGGATATTTATGAGGTCATATTCAAAATTCTCGAAGAATGATGAATATACGTACACGCGCTCGATAGGCAATATTTTTTGCATTCATGGAGCAGAAATGAGCAGGAGAACCTCCTGCTGAAAATCCGCAGGTGCAAAATGGGTTTCCATCGACACGCCGTACAGTAGAACGGGCCATTGCGAGAAGCTGGACGACAAATTTCGGACGGAGATCGCAAATTTTGCCCGTCATATTTCATCACGTTAGAAATTTTAAATGATGCTTTTGGAAGGAAAATTTAAGAAAAAACTAATGGAGCTATTTTCAAACCTCTACGTTTTGTACGAACGAAGATACCTACAACCTCTTAAAGTTTCCACTCCTTATCCGACCTTTCCCCTTGACTTGCTCCCATGTGCCCCACGTCGTTTAATAAAGGTATGTACTATGATTGATGTTGCTCCATCCACAGAGGCCTTGTTGAGATTTTTTGAAAAACAATTATTTACCTCTAACGATGAAAACGAGAGGTCAAGTGGAAAGGCGTTGGGGAAAATTGAAAATTTCATGGTGTTTGTTCTTGTTGCTAGCGTTTTCACAGCTCATTCGAACTAATGACCACGGTTGGTTATGGATGTAAGATGAATAGCTTGCCAAATAAAATACATCTCGTGGAGGAAAATGCCAGTGCCGAGTTTTCCTTACTTGAACGGTCAAAACTTTACTCTTGTCGAAGTATAGACAAAGTAAATATTTCTGGAAAATGGTTCCTTGGGAAACGCTTTAACGGTCGATCGATTATAACTAATAGTGTTATTTGCACTGTGGAACATTTCCCCAGAAATTGTTGAAATCGAGAATTTGCACTTGAATTTTTTAAATTTTTTCCTTTAATAAAGGAAAAGCTGAAAAAAAGCTCCGTTGAAATAGCTCCAAGATTACGTCCCAGTTGATTCTAATTGAAAGTTTTGAACATTTTTTGGCATTGTTTCCCCCGCAAAATAGTGTGGATCTAGCACTTTTTTGCATACGTTATCTTCGATTTGCGATTTTAACTAGTGACGTTCTTCTGGAATCACTTCAAAGTACTCTTCGATCAAATTTTGTGACCGAATTTCCTACGCAAATGATGACGGGGAAGAAATGTATGATGTAAAATTTCAAGAATTTTGGAAATGAAAAAAAAAAAATACAAAAAAGCTCAAATAATAAAAAAAGGAAAAATTAATCAAATCACAATGAAAAAATACAAAGAATAAAAGAATTAAAAATGAAAAATACAAGAAATATGAGCATTAATTTAAAATGAAAAACGAGGAAATGTTGCACAATCATGAAAACATGTCATGATCATCATTGTCACGGTTGTCATATTAGGATCGCATATAGCAAAAAAGGACCAGCGCGATCACAGTTTTGTAAAAATGATGCTCCTTCATAATTGTCAAAAAAATTGTAAATTTTAAAGGAAAATTAAATTGTAAGTTTTAATACTAAGAAGTTGCACGATTTTGAAAACACTGTAATCGTGCCGATTCCTTTTTGCTAAATGCGATCCACTTGTCATTGCCATGTTTGTAGGTTGAGAGTTGCTGGATTTCCACTTTTTTTAGAATTTTTAATCAAATAATTAGTAGTCAGACACTTCTGGTACTTTAATCTTAAGTGTTTGGTCAAGACAAATACACGTTAGCCTCCTCCTTCTGTGCCCTTTTTTTTTTTTTTTTTTTTTTTTTTTTTTTTTTTTTTTTTTTTAAACTTTTGTCAATTAGCACGAAGACCAAGTCACACGTGAAATCGAGAACGAAGTCCGTCCGAAATCCAACCGCCAAACGCACCGGAAGCCCGCAACGAAATCAGTGACAAGTCGGTCTATTACACCACGGACGGGATCAATCAAGCGAGTGCGAGAAAAAACCCCGGGTCCCACGGTAGAAAGTCCGAATCTAGTTGGGCAGGGCCCGGTCGGAATCGGAATTGTCACCGGTGGCCCGGGCGATAAATCCGAACTTTTGCTTTCTACGGCGGCTCCGGAGCCCCGACAAGCCAGCGTCCACCGGGGCAGCGTCCACCAAGCTCCACCATCCACCAACTCGGCGCGGCGCGGGGGGCACCGCCACTAGTTTACTTTCTTTCCCCGGCGTTCGAGTCTCCGCAGCGGGGCCCAGTCCGATCCGAATTATCGAGCTGTCACGACGAGTCTCCCCGGACGAGTCTCGCCATGTGCCGCGACTGAGTCGATTTTTAAAGGATTTTTTCGTTTTTAAGTATATTTTTTTTAACGTTATTTTTATTTTAAGTGTCCGTCGCAGTGCTCGACGCTTTGCGTTTGTACTCAAATGAAGTGCGTGTCGGAGTGAATCGTCCGTCGGTGTGCTGACCGCGCAGGGTGTGGTTTTGTGTGGTTAAAAGTTAAGTTTTTAAGCAGCACAAAGCAGCCTGTGGTATTTACGAGCAAGGAATACAAATTAATCAAAGTAAGTAAAATTCTCTCTCGCCTTTATTGATGTGGAATATAAAAATAATTGAAAAATTAGGTATAGACTTTATTAAAAAAGAAATGTATAATTAATTTCCAACGAATAGGATTTTAATTTTAAAATATATATAAATAGGATAGGATTTTAATTTATACGTTTTAATTACACATATACCATTTTGGTGATAGGTTTATTATTTTTCATTCATGTCAAATTTTAAAACTTTTTTTTATTTTTTTTTCATTTTTATGAAAAATTATTTTTCACAGAAGATGAAATTTTTCCGAGATATACTCAATTTATTATTGGATTTTTTTTAAAGTATCCTGAAAGCATCCTCCTCCCCTCTCTCTCGGAGATGCAGCACCAGGGAATCTCTCACCGAGGAAGTCGTTTGGAGATTGAAACCTATTATTTCATAATTAAATGACCCCCCTCCCCAATAAAATTGCAGGGACACAAAAAGAGTTTTATTTTGTGCCTGTCAAGACTTTTATTACGAAGAGAAAAAGAGAGTGGAAAGTTCATCACTGTGACAATCTCCTTAAATTTCGAGATCGAGATAACCGTGGAATAATCTGATAAGAAAGTTTTTTTATGGGACCCCTAGAAAAGAAACATTAATAAGTCAAAGTTGTCACAGCCAATTTGAAAATTATTATTTAAATTAATTTTCACATTTTAAAGTTCTGAGGTACCTGTTTAATTGCATCTAGATTTTCTGAAATGAAACTTTTCACGATCGATTTTTCTTCTACTCGTGCAATTTCAGGAAAAATTTAGAGAATAATTCCTGATATATTTAGTCGGATCGTGAATAATCCTGAAAGAATGGTTCGATTGTTTTGGTGAATGTGTGGGAGGAGAAATAAGAGAGGTTGAGATAGAATAAAGAAGTTCCGTGTAGGATTGTCAGGACAGTGCAATTAATTTTAAATCCCAACACTCCGAATCCTCGCGAAACCCAAGTTTTAATTATAACTTGCGCGCATTTTCCTCATCACGAGGCCTTATCAAACCGGCGCGTCTCCGACCTATTTTATGGCTCAGGTTAAAAAAGGCGGAAAATGGGATTCAAGTTAGCGAGGGAGAGTTCACTAATTAGTTTTGATCGTCTTCGCCAGAAAGCGTTGCGCGTGGGTGAGGCGTTTGATTGGTCAGCCGGATGTGCATGGCACGTACTTGCGTCCTTTCTTAGCGTTGCCGATCTCTGGTGTGAGCTGGAAGTGGGTATCACAACAGAGAGACTTGACGACAACCCAATAAATTGGCAACGCTCTTTCTCGAAGAAGCTGTACCTAAAGAAAACGCACTGAAGGCAACTCATATTTCGTAGAAAAGCTAATCATATGGGGTAAAAAGAGACGCATGTACCAAAAGAAAAAAAGAAAACTTATGATACTTCACTACTTTAGGCTCACGAAAGTTGCGTATCATAAATTCTTCGAATCCGTAAGGAAGGAAAAAAGGGGGAAAAAAGAATACAGGAGTGTAGAAAGATTTTGTTTGTAATCGCTTAACATTGATGACTGAAATTTCAACTTGTAACCTTTATCAAATGTTCTTGAGAGCATTCAAGAGTGCCTATAGCATCGAAAACTGAGACCTTTTCCAACCTAAATTGATTATTTTGCTTTACTGTATGATTTGAGTTACGATCTTATGGTCAAGAACCTGCCCAAAAGAGATTTTTGCCCTTTTTCGGAGGGTCAAGGGACATGGGTCTGGGGACTTGGGGGAATAAGGAGGGAACAGAAGGACACCTCGTCAAGGGAGGCCCAGGGAGCATTAAAAAATACCCTAATAGGGGAGATTTGTGGAGTCCCCCAGTTTCAAAGAGAAGATCAGGAAATTTCCTTAGCCTCATAGAGGAGTTCTGGGAAAATTAGGTAAAATTTAGGTGTCTCAAGAGCAATTTTGAGCTTTTCTTATCAACAAATTGATTTAATTAAAATTTCAAAGGTGAAATATATGTCACACACTTATTTAGAAAAATCTCTTACATTTTTTCGGAAGGGTCCAGTAGATTCCGGGAGGGAGGGCCAGGCCACCCTTAACAGTTCCGCCCATGCCTAACTGCCTATAGGGATATTACTGACATATGGCTAAAATGGAACCCTGTGATAGCAAAAGCCTTCAGTAAAAGTCTCACTTTGAGTTCAAAATGGGCTTTAGTGATATGACATGGAACATTTTACTTTGCTCAGCATTGAAATATATATAGATGGCAAATGCGAAACCACGTATCTCTGTTTGCGACGTTGCAAGGCTCCCGCCGTACTTTATTTTTATTTATTTATTTATTATTTTTTTTTAACAAAAATACTGAACGTAATTTCTTGATATAAATTCATTGAGTTTTTTTCTGTATTGGCAGTATACTTTGCATTAATATCAAGCTGTAAAGTAGGCTTCTTTCGCCACGGAAAACTAAGATGGTGGCGGAAATTTTGAAACACTGCAATGAAGATGGCTGGGTTTTCCATTTTGGCATTGATATGGGATAAAAATGCAAGCTCTGCTTTGCAGTGCCTATCATTATTATTAAAACCAGCTTTCAACTCAAACGAATGTAATAATTGAAGCTTCCTTCTTCACGAGTCTTCGCTCCGGAAAGAAAACGGAAGCTTTTGGGGTGACACTTTCGCCTGATGATTTAATCACATATTTACGTCCCTTGTCTAGACCAATCAGCGTCAAGTTCTAAGCGTCCGAACTCTCCTGATGAAATGATGAGGGAGAGTGTGAGCCCGGGCGGGAACAAACGAGAGTGTCGGACGCATTCCGCTCCAAAAGTCAAGTAGGCAAGACTGATTCAACTGTCGATACCGACCGGCCGCGGCACTGCGTCGTACAGTGGATCGAGTCAATCAGAAAGCTCGGACATGAAATTTTTTACTAAAACCGAAAATTTGGATATTTATTCCATCACATTTTAAATATTAAAGGGTGTTTCGAGAAGAAGATTTTACGAGGAGACCAGTAGAACCACTTTTGAAACCTCAAAATTTTGAATGAACGGAGTTATGAGCTTTTAAAGTTTCCGAAGTCTATCTGGTGGGTTGACGTTGCCGCACAAAATTTACGATTTTGACGCATCCACTTAAAACCCTGCGGACTGACATTTCCGAACAAAATCAGTCAGGAAAACTTTTTATTTGGGACAATTTGGCAACACCGCGCAGACAATTGGATCATGTTTCTCTTAATCCACATACAAAATAACAAATTATGAAGAATTATGGGGAAACATTTTACGAACCCATTGTCCACCGGGGATCGCTACATTTTTTGTAGAAGATACCACTTACCAACGTAAGCTTTAGATGCTTTAGAGAGATGGGAAGAAAAAAGTTACCAGATGGGTGTGATAACCGTGTTTAAAAAAATGAGCCTTTTGTAACTCTGGTTAAAAACTTGTCAGATGTAACTTGGGTGGGAAATATACACGGAAAACTAAGTGTTAGGGGTTATCTCCTAAAATTCTGGTAGGTACTACCACAATTTGTCGGATGATACGGACATTTCTAATTAATTGTGGTAGAACCGCAACTCAAGTTGGGATAGTACCGCAACATTTGGGTTAGTAACTTAATTTATTGGGGTATGACCACGATCGATTCGTGTACTACCGCAATTAATTGGAAATGTCCATATCACACAACAGAATCGTGCTTTTGTTTATCCGTGTATTAGGCGGAAACGTCGATCACGATATTTGTGTGGAAATTTCAAAATCCCAGATTTTGTGCGGAAAATGTATACCTCCTTTTGTCCGACCTCTCACTGGAAAAAAAACACATTTGATCTAGAGTCCAGACTCTTAAAAACATCGACAAGAAAATATACTCTTGATTCTATCGAATTTTTGTTTAAATCAAGAACCAAGCCTCTTAATTTGAACGGATTACCTTTTGATTTAAGCAAAAATCTGATTGAATCAAGAGTATTTTTTCTTGTCAATGTTTTCAAGAGTCTGGACTCCAGATCCAATGTGTTTTTTTTTTTCCAGTGCTCCTATTGACTCGGTCTATTGTACGCCGCTGCGTCGCCGTGGAGTGTGGCGTGCGGTGCAATGCGTCGAAAAACCCGGAGCTTTTCTATTAATTAACTTTTAAAAGTTTTTAACCGCTGCACGCGGGCGCCCCCGCCACGCGAATTTACGATCGCGACGCTCAGTGCCAACGACTCGGATCTGGATCCTGTCCCGGAGGGCCTCAACGGCACCCACTTCTAATCCCTTCGTCTCGGAGCCTTGACCCTTTGGTATTTTCCTTCCGTCGCCGCCGCCGCTGTTCGGCTTTCTTCCAGGGTGCCAAGTTTATAGCTCAATCGTTCAGTTTGAAAATTACCTTAAAGCGAATTTTGTTTAGAGGTTCGCACTGAAAAAAAATCTCGATGTATCTACTAAGAAAAGGGTAAAATTACCAAGAATTCAGGGATCTATTTGATCCCAGTTTTTTCTTGGTAAAATTACCATTCATGGAATTGGTAATTTTACCAAGAATCTCGGTAAAATTATTGAACTTTCTCGGTAATTTTACTGGACCTTGCTAAAATCGCCAATATTTTTTATCGACTGTGGTAGAATTACCGAGATAAAATGGCAAAGTTACCAGGAATTGATTACCAATAAAAGTGGTATTCTTACCTGAAAAACAGTAAAAATACCGGGTTTTAGGTAAGTTTACCAGTCTGTCTTGGTAAAATTACCAAGAATTGGTAAAAAAGTGAGATGGTAAAGGTAACGGACCCTGGTAAAAACGCCGAGAATTTTTTTTCAGTGCAGAGGTTTGGCACTACTTTTCTGCCGTGCTATGGAAAAACTCCGTAGGAACATTCGAGAGTTGCCAAATTTCTCTTGATAAAACATGTATTTTTGAGGAAAGTTATTCACATTTGCACTACATTTTGCAATTAGGAACTATAACTTCCGCCCCGGTTTAAAAACAACGCATGTGCCATTGGTTTCCCTATGCACATTAGTGTTTTTCCAA